GGAAAAATGTCCCCCGGGAAACAAAAGTTCACTGGCGGCCGCGACGAAACGTTCTGCTATTTAAAGGGGATGTCCGGTATTCAAAAAATTCATTTCAAAACAAAAATAAAAACCGGTATTCGGTACAAAACAGTATACCGCCCAGCACTAACAGTAATGAAGTAAAAGTATCATTTTTAGGTTTTAAAAGTAAATAAGTAAAAGTAAGTCACAATTTAAAAAAATACTTGGTAAAATTACAAATCCTCAAAAAATGACTTCAGTACTGTAAAAAAGTAAATGTACTTAGTTACTATAAACCTCTGCTCATTGATTGGTTGGTTCGCTGACTGGGAAGAGTCACGTTACACAGATRAGATTAATTTTACGTAAATCGTTTGCAACCACTGTAACAATTTTTCACGAGTTCARCTAAACAACAGCKGTTGCAAGCTACCAAGCTACAAGCTAACGTTAGCTACCATTAGCTTACCACCCTCTGTCATCCTGCCCTATCGTTGTCCGGTACAGTCTTCTGTACCTTTCTTTTGAGTTTGGTGTAGTCCATTGTTGTGTCGCAAACAAAACAAAATAAGATTCGGCTCTCTGCTCAGATCAAACACAACCAGGGTCGGAGTTGAATAAAGCTGAGCTGACCGGGGTCGGGCCAGGCCAGGCTGGACCTTACAATGCTAAAATGCCWTAATATGGACCCCTAGATGAAAAATATTGCCCTTGCCTGCTGTAGAAGTAAAAGAAACATGAATTGGGATAATTTGCTCATTCTTGTCATTCATTCATGCATGAGCTTCATGCAGAAATACCGTTCTGCCTCGCTTTGTGTGCAAGATCAAAGKTCATGCTCTCCAGTGGACGTGCTACAGACCTTTTGACCTAAATACAAATGACTGTGGAATTCCATCCAGTGTTTTTTCACATCTGYCAAAGTGTCATTTCAGGATCTTGTTTACTCTCTTGTGGTCAAATGCTCATTTGTTGTTGAGCTGCAGTTATTGTTGCTCTTCAAGTCAAGTGGAGCGCAGGACAGGGTGGGGACAAGCAGCAACATCCTCTCTTCTGTTCGCAGGAGGTGTGGTTGTCTTCCTTTCTTATTTACACCAGAACCTTTAACACCTTGCTGGCTTAGACCTTCTTCGTGCATACAAGTTACAAATGCAAATGAGTAAACCGTAACATGTTCTCTTTCGGGGCTGCCACAGTCAGACACAGTAGGGATGGAATAATRTAAAGTCGCCAAAGGGAGGGTCCTCATCTAACATGTCCCACTCAGAGCTAGCCCTCGCACACATAATGAGGCTCATCTGTATTCTGTTGAACTCACTCAAGTTTTGTTTGGCTGTAGAGGAGTTTTCTCCTTTGGGTCGGCCTCCATGTTGGATTAAACTTTGTACTGTTGTGCATCTTTTATTATTTTCCTTCAGGCATTTCTGCTCATAAAAACAAGCGTTTTGAAAAAAAAATTGTGAACATGTGTGTAGGTCCTGTTTCCCAGAGACTTGTGCAATCAAGCTGCTATTAATAAACGGAAAATGAATACATCTACTTATGCTTGATTCTTTGCAAACGCTTTAAATAGTTTTACAATTATAAAGTGGTAAAATGAATGTAAATATAGTGATGGTCTTATTTGTGGCACTCTGCCGTAGGTCTTAACTGCCTGGTTGAGCATCATGTGCTCAGAAAGATCTAACATCTTTTCCTATTTGGAGCAAAATGAGTGTTGTTGGGGCGGATAAACAACAAAAAGCTGATTGTTGGTTCTCTAAATGTGTAACATTTATCTGAGTGGGTTCTTTGTTTGCATATGTGCAACTCCATATAAACTGTTCAGTGTTTTTTGCAGCTCAGTCTGGTTGTTTCCTCCTTTTATGTGTTATCAGGTGATGGATGGGACGGGCACATTATTGGCTGTCATCCATCATTAAAGACCTCAGGCTGTCTGACGCTATTTTCCACTTTTTCCTTTCTGCCTGTCATTCCCTCGGTTTTCTCCAGTCTTCCCTCGTTTCTTTGAGCCTCTTTCGCAATTTAGTTTCTCTTTTCTCCAGTTTCTCACCTCCTCCACTCGGCTTCTTGTTTTTCACTCTTCCTCTTCTTTAACCTTTTTTGTTGTTGCCCTTTTTCCTTTAAATAGTCTGCTTTCCATTCCTCTTTTAGTGTTTGTCACATGTCTCCCTGGTATAACCTTCCCTCTGGTTCACTTAAAAAAAAATCTGAAAGCAGATTTAGAAAGACACAGTGTCCCACTCACAATTAAAGCGTACCTCCCTCTTCCCTTTCCCCGAGCAGGCTCATAATAGGAAATGCCCCCGTTATCTCGTTTGGTACCAGTGTATTAATTTAGGCCGTAGACAAACAAGCCGTGTATGCATGCGCTGCTGTGTCCTTGCTCTGATAAAACTCATATTCACATGGATGGTTTTTACACTGTCAGCCTCTTCAGATGACTTTAACCTCCAACACTCTGCTCATTAGTGTAGGAATCTGGTACAACAAGAACACAGAGATTGGAAATGTGGGAGGGAGTGGGCAGGTCTCTTCAGAAAGTTGAACGTTAGAGTTTGAGGGTGAGCTTTAAGGTGAGGAGCAGGCATCTTGAGTTAAAATGTTTGGGGCTTTCAAGGACCAGGATTGAACGTCACTGGTTTAACCCTATCTTCAAGGAATAAAAAGGGGATTCCTTTGCTTCAACTCACCAGGTTTGACTAAAGAATCACTTCAAGGGCTAGTGGCCAAGCTAACATGCTGGGTATGCTTACATATTGACGTAATTTACCTTTTTTTTGCAATGTTAAAGCTAAGCTTGAGGGGTATGATGGTACTTTTTATAACTCTGTATTGAAATATGGCAACGGTATTTAAAAAGTATGACAATTTAACCTTCTGGAGCCTAGTCACACGATCTGTTTAAGTCACTGTAACAGGGAAGATGTACCTTCTCTGAGACTCTGTTTCAATTTGTATCAAAAGTAGAGACTTCAGACTATACAACAGTTTTTAAACTGTGTTGATAGGGCAAAAAAAATACAAAGTTATGACAAATAAATAATGCCACTTTTTTCTGAACATGGCTGTCCTATTTGATGCGCTTTGCAGTGGCAGGCAGATGGAAACATGGTAGTTTCATGGGAAAAAAAATCTCAATCCACCATCTGTCTCATCCTTCTTTCAAGCCGAAAAACATAAACCCCCCTGTCCTCCTTTCTGACTGAAGCCCAAAGTTATTTGATTAGTGCTAAAAAATCTACAGGAGGAAGAAACTAAAAAGATGCAAAAATTGACTGAAGTTTGGCATCGATGGAGAGAYTGCGAGAGCGGGAGAAAGTCTACACGCCACAGTTACTGAAGTTTATGTAAAGTTTATGAGCACTCAGTTTGCACAGACCTATCAAAATCAGTTTTTAACATTTTTGTCTGTTCATTGGTTCAGTCCTTTCCTTCTTTGATATTATATTTCAGATTTATTTTGCTTACTTTAGTGACTGTTTGGTCCAAATCCATCCTAAATCCTCAGCCTTCCAYCACCATACTTTCCAGTTGGTGTTTTTACTCATGTTTGATTTTCCACAAAAAAAAGTGCGTTATGGCCAAACATCTCCAGCTCAGTCCCATCTGTTCAAAGGCCAATATTCCAGGAGTGTATTTTATATTCATTCTTTTTCTTATTGAACTATTGTGCAGCTATTTGTTTAGCAGACTGAGTCCTTCAGCGTTTAAGATGCAGTTCCTGTTTTTTTTTTAAACATTTTCTACCCAGTCTGACCTTGTCTGCTGTTAAGCTGCCAGCAGCTGTGCATTTCTGAGCAATAAAAGAGGCGATCAGTTTAGATTATTTTTGTTGTTGTTCTTGGCTCTGAGTGTCTAATTGTTTTAAGCCATTATCTGGCTGGCACGGCTGAAATGTTTGGGTAATTCTATCGTTGTTTCTCTGGAGATGGCCCGTAAGCCTTATTGCAGATGATTGTTTATGGCAAATGTGGTATTTGTTAATGGACTTCTGGGCATGATATCACCAGAGTGTGCGTCTGTGTGAAGACGAGAAAGAGAAATGGAGACGGTGCTCGTGTGTTTGAATGCATCAGGAGAATTGATGAAGAATTAAAGGCGTTCCAACAGTTTTTATGAATCTTTGTAATCCCTGAAGTAATCATTAAAGATACTTTCTTGTCCCTTTGTTTATTTTTCCAGCCGTTGCTCTTCCTTCTAYCCTCAGTCTTTGCCAAAGTTGTGCKCTTTGAATGAGTTKCTYGTGGGCTTTTGTTGGCTTCTGGTTAATATTYGTCTTTCCAGGAGGAGATGGTGGCGAAACGTGAAAATGGGAGAAAGAAACGTAGCCAAGATGCATCGACAGAATGAGACTCAGTCAGAGAATCAATCCTGAAAGAGTGAGYAAACAGAGAAAAGATGTTTGAGCCAAGTGGAAGGACAAAGAGCCGATTGTGAAAGTGAACCCAGCTTTCAGTTCCTGGACAGTCAGTCGTGRTGGTTTATTTTTTATTGGATTACTGGATTAAAAGTTAACAACTTGGGTATTTTCACCTGG